TATCCGGGACGTGTAATAGATTCCACAGAAGTCCCTTAAAACGGGAAAGGTTTGGGAATCCACCTGCACGGTACCGTGATCAGGAAGGACTCAGACGGAGACTTAACACTTACTGCGGGTGAAAGAAAATATAGATACACTGAAATATCACAGTAATTTAATTCACAATACTGTATCAATATTCTACAGCACTGGATGGATTTTTTTTATATCACCAATTCCCAGGGAAATATTCCTGGTGTTGGTTCATTTTCTTTTTCTTTTCTTTCTTCTCTAGTGATTCCAAATGTAGATCCCTCTGTTCCAGTGTCAGGAACTGATGTTCAGATGGAACAGAGTCTGAGACTAGTACACACTGGGACTACAATTACAAAAGTGGGGAAAAAAAACCCTCAATATATCATTGTGAAAGTGGAAAAAAAAAACCCTCAATATATCATTGTTACTACAGTATCGCAATATATCGTATCGTTGCCCCTGTATCGCGATACGTATCGTCAGATTCTTCACAACAACACACAGCCCTACTGCCTAGAGTACATACATCTGAGACCGGTTTGGTACATAAAAAAAAAAGAAAAAGAAAAAGCCTTGAATTATTTTTTAACATCTTCTAACCACTCTCATTCTCCTTTCCCTTGCTGTTTTAACCCCCCCACCCTGCTTCTCTCACATAGGCTGAGGCAACACTGTTGACATTTCCCCAACATGTCTGCCAGACACAACTTCATCACCTTTCCTGTCTCACTCCCACAGTCTGCTAAACTCTCTCTTTCCCCGATCTCGGCGCGGTTAAAGAAAAGCAGAAATCAGGCCCAGACCTTGCAGAGGTGATTGGTATCAAATTGCAGTGAAAATGGAAATGCCAATAAAATTGACAGACCTTTTCCCCCAGCCCTCCTTCTTCCTTTTCCTCCTCGTGTTAGGAGAAGTGTGTACGCTGTAGGTCAGACGTATGCAGATGTTTCTAGAAGGAGAAGGAGAAAAGTCAGAGTCATTCGAAGTTTATCACTTCATCTTTAATATTTGATCAGCAGCTCTTCAGCAGGTATGATAAGGGTTTCGTCTCAGTTTGTCATCATGAGCTCCTGTGGGTTGGTTTGTAGTTACTGGCCTCATGGGGTTTATATATATACACACACTGCCAACACCACTGCTGCTGCTGCCGCATCATTTAATGCATGATATCAATAGATACGAATGATATGAGCTGCTTTGAAATAACAGTCATGGTAATTGAAGAGCGTGCTATTGGTTTTTTTTTAATGTACAAGGGAAATGTAAAAGGGAAAGGAGGCGTTCGATTACAAGGCAGACAACAGTCAGACTACAGCAAGCTGTGGTCGACTGTTGTGTCGAGTCCACTGTGTCTGAAACCGAGTTTGAGTCATTGAGTCAAAGTCAGCTTGAGTTCTTAATGCTTGGTACTCACCAAGGTTTCTAATCTTGAGTTCTGTATTACTCATGAAAAAAAATCTCGTGATAATTTGAATCTTTCTAGGTTTGGAGGATGTTACTTTTCTACCACTTCCTCTTACAGTTGGCTTTAGTTTGGCAGGTGTGAAATTTACCACAACCAAACATGCTAATTCTCGTCCGCCTAAAATGTGTTTCTTTGCGATCTTTGGTACTGTTAACAAAAGTCCGATACCATGAGTAAGTGATGTCTGATTTCGGCTTCTTAGATTTTGGACTTGAATACTACTACACTGCCTACAGCAGTGGTTTCCAAAGACTGGGTTGCAACCTACAGAGGTATCATTAGCCAAAAGCCACTTGAAACCTGTGAAGGTTACGATGGACTTGGAGCCTGGACTTGGACACGTCTCTTATACGAGAGGAGACGGGGACTGTTTGATCAGAGCTGGATCAAACAAGGAGTCCATGATGAAACAGTAGCAAAGCAAATGTAATTTCTTCTGAAATCCACACTTTTTATCACTTCTTACACTATGCCCGAAATTTCTCACCTCTTACTAAGTCCGCCCACTGGCTGAGTTGATACTCTGTGGCCGCTCGCCTCTGTTTTCCCAGCCTGCACTGGGACGAGCCCCTGGGTTTGTTATTGTAGGCTTTGCTGAACATGAGCCGGTCTTTACAATGGATTGAAAGCATTTGCTTCCAATGAAAATCTGGTCTAAGATTACAGGTCCCGGGCTCGCCTCACCCCACTTTTCCACCAGACCCGCAGACGAAGTGTGTGGGGAGGACGGGAGTAAGAGGGACGAGAGAGGGATGAAGAAGTGGGAGTTTTTTTTTGTAGCTCTGAAACCGTAGGCTGGAAAATACTCACATGTTAAGCTCAGGCTGCATTTGTCCCAGGCTAATGATGTAACTCAAGCTTGCAATGTGAGTGTGTTTTCAGACAGAGCGCTGGGTCTAAAAGCTGCTGCAGAAATGATATAATGTGTATGTGTGTGAGTGTGTCTGCATGTACCCATGCTTGTGGGGACACTTTAGTTCTTCAGGGGACACTTTGTCCTTGTGGGGACATTCTGCGGGTCCTGAATGTGTTTGAGAGCGTTTTGAAGTTTATGATTTAGTTTGGAGATATAATTAAAATTAGAGTCAGATTAGAGTTAGAGTGAGGATTAAGATTAGACGGGAGGCTAAGGAATGGAATAATAGTGTGTGTTTCTGCAGTGTTTTAGCTCAGAAAATATATAAAGCAACGTTTACACCATATAGAGGAGACATGTCTGGTTTATTTGACACCATAGGTGGTCTGTACCTACAGAGAACTGTTGTGGTCTTGATCCCACAACAACCTCCTGTAGCTGTAGATCAGTATCCAGGGTTTTCATTTGCTACGACTTGAATACGAATGAAGTCGTAGTGATTTTTTTTTTAACAGAAAAAAGCACTGTATTTACACAAAAACAACAGTAAAATATAAAATATAAAATAATAGAAAACAACCACCCTGGACCTAGATGTGAGATCTTTTTTGAACCTCACTCGTCTGTTGCCCAAATCCAACTTTTGACCTTTTGGCAGTGTTACTGTGGCCCAACACTGCCAGCTTTGCATGCATATGTGCATATATTATTAATGTGCAGTGGCTGAATCACAGCATCTCTGAAAAGCAGGCTCCTGTTTGTTACCCCTCCCCCCCCCCCCCCCCCCCGCCTCTCCACAGCATCACCTTCACTTCCACACGAGGCCTCTCAAAAAAAAAAAAAAAGCCTTCAATATGTGTGTGCATATGCATCTCCTTCTGCCACAACAGTGGCTGTGTGATGAGAGAGTCAGAGCTATAGCCAGGAATGTTGTTTCATATGGATGGTGGAGAGCCTCCCTCTCTCTCTCTCCCTCTCTCTCTCTCTCTCTCTCCTAATGGTGTCTATAATTCAGGTGCCCTCCAGGCATGCTTTCAGGAATTCTTTTGCCTGAGGTAATGGGGAGCAAAGGCCTGGTTTTCGGCCCATGATTATTCCATTGATGTGGCAGGTTGGAAAAAAGTAATCTCCAACCGGATTAGAACCAACATCCACATTAATTATCGATGAATCGAGGGGGCTTTGGGGTTGTTTTTTTTATTTTTTTATTTTAGCTAGGTGCTGGGTGTCGCCCCACTCTGAGTTGGTGCAGGAGTGAAAAGGTGTTTGTCTTCACTTATAGTTATTTACAGCACAGCAAAACACGACTGGAAGCTTCAGAAGTGCTCTGTGTGTAATCAATAAATAAGCTACTCCAATTCAATGCACCGCTTCAGCATTTTCACCCCTTTTTTTTTTGTTTTAAACTCGCTTTCAAATAGGAGAAGCAGGGGTGGCTGTTGTCAATTGTTCATTCAATGTCATGTTTCTTTAATGGGTTTAGTAAGTGAAGCAAGCAGTTTTGAATAATAAGAATTCTCTTCTCTAAGAAAAAGGTGGTAGAGTTTTAGAAGAAGGAAACAAAAACCTCATTTGTTGATGCACAGACAGCTGTGCTTATTGAGTCACATACAGGACCTTCAGTGGTTTCTATGTTTAACTTAGTGGTGCTGTATTAACAAGATTAAAATCTTTTTCATTTACTGCATAAAATAAAAAACATCATCAGCAGTTAACTTCTTGGTGAAAATTATTAACTCGGGGTTAAGTTGAAAGAACAACTGAAATTGTTAAGGGTAGCAACAAAAGTTGAAGTGACTTGAGTGAAGAAACGTTTCTCATTTCTACCCAAACCAAGTTTTTGGTTGATGCTTAGTTAGCTTAAGTCTGTTAGCCGTTAGCCTGCTAACCTTCCAGAATACATGGCCATTCCAGTCAAACTGTCTCTCTATTTGTAATCAAACATTAAAGAGTTAGTTTTGTGCACTTTCTTTGTTCTTTGTCTCAGATGCTCTAAGTTGCCCCCCTCCTCACCCCCCGCCCTCCCCTTAGGTGAGGTTAACTGGCCTTAATAGAGTCTTATCAAAGCCCTACAGGTTGCTGTAAGCAGCCATGATGCCATTGTTATGAAAAGCAGCCCAGCTTTGTTAGCTCTGTTTGTGCCTGCGACTTTCCTTTTTTTTTTCCACCTATTTTCCTTTTATTTTCTGTCCCACCCCCTGCTTCCCTTTTGTAGTGCCATGTTACTCTTTCCACCTCAGGTAAAATAGCGGAATGCGCTAGGGTGACGCTTCAATAACTATTTTCCCCTCAGGATAATAAAGACTAAATCTCTCTGTCATTTTCAATTCTGCGCGGGTTTGGATGGCAGAGTGGGGAAATGCGACCTTACAAGTCCTTTGTGCTTCGCCTTCCCGTTCTCACAGAATACGCTCGATGCGTTTTCAAGTGTAGAAAAATGAAAGGCAGGGTTATTTATAAATGTATTAAAAATGAATGCGTTTATGAAGGCGCTGTTTTCCAGCTATTGTTGCGTCTCCTCACCCCCGGAATCCTCTCCGAAATCGTATTTATTTGCTTTGAATTCAGAGGCACGGCGAATGCAGGCAGTAAACAAACCATGTGTCTAATCTCTGCTGTCTCTTCTGCCTGTTTTTTTTTTTTTTCTGTGTCATGTGACAGGTGACGGCCTGGACAACAGCGTCGCCTCACCGAGTACAGGGGACGACGATGACCCAGAAAAGGAAAAGAAACACAACAAGAAGAGAGGGATCTTCCCCAAAGTGGCCACCAACATCATGAGAGCATGGCTCTTCCAGCACCTAACGGTGAGTTCACGCCGGCGGCAGCAGCAGCAGCAGCGTCTGCTCTGAGCGCAGCAGCAGTCAAACTGTCTGTCTGTCTGAGCTCTGGAGGAGAAGTGTAACCTGACTCTGAGTGGAACAGATTGACAGAGCTTCAGCCGCGCGGAAAAAAACCCCCAGATGTTTTTCTCAGATCCTGCACATCTCCAATCTTTGCTCAACGTCTTATTTCGCTCGCTCTGATTTTTGAGGTCTGTTAAACCGATTTATTGGCCGACGCTTCATTCCCTAATGTGAATATTCTGTTTTTTTTTAATTACATTTCTAAGCTTTCATGTCCTTAGACACACTTTGAGTTATTGTCAACAAATCTGGCACAATCAAATTTTTGGTGCCTGCATCTGTAATCTCAGAAAAAGAATGGAAACTGTTCAGTTGCACGTGTCATGTCCAGACAGCAGAAAAAAGCAGATTTGTGAATTTCATATGTAAAAAAAACAACACTTGTATCTCATGGCTTATGCATTCACTTTTATACTTCGGTGTATTCAAAGATGTACAGATTGTACACTCTTTGGCCCCCGCCCCGGTTCCTTTTATCCGCCCTCTCTACATTATTTCCCCCGTTAGTACAGTCAACACTTCAAAGACACGGGCCTGGTTTTTAATCTGCCATGATCTCAGCAGCCAGAGCTCGCTCGGCCCCTCATCTGCTGAAACTCAATAAGGTTGAAGCCAATGAGAGACGCCCCTGGCCATAACTGCCGCTGATACATAGATGAACCTTATTAGGAACAAATCTGTCATTATTTAACAGATGCCTGGGATGCTGCAAAGGCCTGTGGTTTGGCTTTTTTTTTTTTTTT